CCCGGGTAGAGGTAGAGATCCTGGATCTCAATGACAACTCTCCCAGCTTTGCCATCCCTGAGCGAGAGATACGCATCTCAGAATCAGCTGCATTTGGGGCACGATTCCCTCTGGATAGCGCCCAGGACCCAGATGTGGGCACCAATGCTGTGAGCTTCTACACTCTGAGCCCCAACAACCACTTCTCACTGAATGTGAAGACCCTAAAAGATGGGAAGCTATTCCCAGAGCTGGTGCTAGAGCAGCAGCTGGACCGTGAAGCCCAGGCAAAACATCAGTTGGTGCTCACTGCTGTGGATGGGGGCATCCCAGCCCGCTCAGGGACCACTCTCATCTCTGTTATTGTGCTGGACATCAATGATAATGCTCCAACCTTCCAGTCCTCAGTTCTTCGTGTGGGGCTCGCAGAGAATGCACCCGTGGGCACACTGCTGCTCCGCCTCAATGCCACTGATCCAGACGAGGGCACCAATGGCCAACTAGACTACTTTTTTGGAGACCATACATCTGAGGCAGTGCAGAATCTCTTTGGCCTAGACCCTAGCACTGGAGCAATCCGTGTGTTGGGTCCCATAGACTTTGAGGAGTCAAGTTTCTATGAAATTCATGCAAGAGCCCGTGACCAGGGACAGCCAGCTATGGAAGGCCACTGTGTGATTCAAGTGGATGTGGGGGATGTCAACGACAATGCCCCAGAGGTACTACTGGCCTCTTTGGTCAACCCTGTCCTAGAGAGCACGCCAGTGGGCACAGTGGTGGGATTGTTCAATGTGCGGGACCGAGACTCAGGGAGGAATGGTGAAGTGAGCCTTGATATCTCTCCAGAACTGCCATTTCAGATTAAGCCCTCTGAGAACCACTACTCACTGCTGACCAGCCAGCCCTTGGACCGGGAGGCCACGTCCCACTACATCATTGAGCTGCTGGCCAGGGATGCTGGCTCACCTCCCCTGCACGCACATCTCACCATCAGGCTCAACATTTCAGATGTTAACGACAACGCCCCCAGCTTCACCCAGAAGCTCTATACTGCTTACATCCCAGAAAATCGGCCTCCAGGCTCCCTTCTCTGCACTGTGGCTGCCTCCGATCCAGACACTGGGGATAACGCCCGTCTCACCTACTCCATTGTAGGGGATCAGGTTCAGGGAGCCCCAGCCTCCTCCTTTGTGTACGTCAACCCTGACGACGGGCGCGTCTTTGCCCAGCGCACCTTTGACTACGAATTGCTGCAGATGATGCACATTGTGGTGGGCGTTCGAGACTCTGGCTCCCCCCCATTGCATGCCAACACATCTCTGCATGTGTTCGTTCTGGATCAGAATGATAACGCCCCAGCTGTGCTGCACCCAAGACCCAGCTGGGAACTCTCCGTCCCCCAGCGTCTCCCTCGCTCTGCGCCTCCTGGCTCCTTGGTCACCAAGGTGACAGCCGTGGATGCTGATGCAGGCCATAATGCATGGCTCTCCTATTCACTGTTGCCGCAGTCCACAGCCCCAGGACTGTTCCTGGTGTCCGCACACACTGGAGAGGTGCGCACGGCCCGGGCCCTACTGGAGGATGACTCTGACACCCAGCAGGTGGTGGTCCTGGTGAGGGACAATGGCGACCCTTCACTCTCCTCTACAGCCACAGTGCTGCTGGTTCTGGAGGATGAGGACCCCGAGGAAATGCCCAAATCCAGCGACTTCCTCACACACCCTCCCGAGCGGTCAGACCTTACCCTTTACCTCATTGTGGCTCTTGCAGCCATCAGTCTGTTATCCTTAGTCACCTTCACCTTTCTGTCGGCTAAGTGCCTGCGGGGACACGCGGATGGGGGTGGGGGTGGGGGCCGGTGTTGCGGGCGCCAGGACTCACCCTCCCGGGACTACTATAAGCAGTCCAGTCCCAACCTACAGGTGAGCTCCGACGGCACGCTCAAGTACATGGAGGTGACACTGCGGCCGGCGGACTCGCACAGCCACTGCTACAGGACGTGCTTCTCACCAGCCTCGGATGGCAGTGACTTCACTTTTCTAAGGCCCCTCAGCGTCCAGCAGTCCTCGGCTCTGGCGCTGGAGCCTGACGCCTTCCGGTCCCGCTCTAACACGCTGCGGGAGCCGAGCCAGGTGAGGGGCTTGGCGCGACCCCTGGGCGCGGCGATGAAGCCGCCCATCCACTTAGGGGCTTTGAACTTGCATCTACTCCTCTCGTGCGGGCTCGGCTGCCTGCTGCGCGCCACCCGATTCGGACAGACTGCGCGGGACCAGAGGTGTGGCCAAACCAGGGGTGGGGCTCTGAGCCCCGGGAGGTGGTGGTTATCGTGTCCGAGGGGGCTGGAACCGACCCCAGCTCCGCCCCTCAAACTCAGAAAAGGCTGGGGCTCGGCGATCTTGCCAGTGATTTCCAACGGGTCCCGGGGTCCCGGGTGGAGGCAGTCACAGATCCACGCCCACAGCCAGCCCCCTGGGCTCTGGCGCCCGCACGCTCCGCCGCTCTTTAGGTTTCCTAAGTTTCTTCCCACTCCCTGGACCTGGGACTTCGCTGTTCCTCTCAGCCCTCCTTATTCCCAAATCAAACAAGTGCATCTGTAGACAGGACAGAGGTGCGCGCCGGGCTCCAGGGTGTCCTCCCTGCAAGAGCCACACACCCAGGAGCGACAGCGCCACGCCCGGCGCGCCTCACCTGTACACACGCCCTCGCACTCCGGCTCGCACGCACGCTGCCCCCGCACCTCCTCACAGCCTCAGAGGTACTCAATCGCCGACCTCGCGCCTTGGCGATACTCACCGCGACCTCGCGCCTTGGCGACAGTCTCGGGTCGGGGCCGTCCCGGGCCCGAGAGGACTCGGGAGGTTCTTTTCACCCCTGCCCCGGGCCGGACCGGGTCATCTGGGGGTGAGCCTGAGGCCAGCTGAGGCACCTAGAGCCAGGCAGCGAATGTGGGCGTGGGTGGGCGTGACTCTTTGACGCTCGAGTAGGCCGGTGGGGCTGGGCAGGGACGGCAGCGGCGCCTCCAGCACAGAGGCCCCGGACAAGTGGGCGGAGCTGCCTTGGGACCCCAAAGGGGCGGCGGGGTTGGCCTTCGCGGGTGAGCAGGCCACTACAGGACCCGCAGCCTGGGACCTCAGTGCCACCCGCGGCCCCTTCCCCTTGCGGGAAGTGGGAGCCTGCCACAACCGTCTCTGGACTCGCAGAGAGGTTTTTGGCTCCGTCGTGACCACAAAGCGTCCAGCGATCTAGGATCTAGGCTTTCAGGGGTGACCAAAGCACCTGAGACTTTGGCACATCCTTCCTTCTCTGGCTAAACAGTAAAAAGCACAAGTTGCCACAATCCCAGGAGCTTTTATTCAAAGCCTATCTGTGCCCCACCCACCCTGCCCCCACTGAATGAGAATTGTATTTTGAAACAACACCCCATGTGACTCTGACAGCTGACAATCTTACTACACCCCCCCCCCCCCCCAAAGAATCGCATCTCCTCTGCTCTTCCCAGCACTTTGCTGGGTAGGTTGGAGCACCCCCATCACATAACTGAGTTTCGCAGAAGTCAAGTGACGTGTTCAAGTTCTCATAGTAAGCGATAGAGAAAGACCTACCCCAGGTCTGCCTACCATCAGGAGAACGAGGCAGTCGGAAAGCTGGAGGACAGCAGGGCGGGCCTGCATCTGCTGGGCTGGGGCAGGGGTGGCTCTGACAAGTGGAGAAAAGTCTTCAGGGGCTCCTCATCCCTGAGCAGCCCTCGCTGAATAAACCTGGACCCGGCGTCCTTTTTCGGGCTGTCCATGTGGCCCAGCTCCTCCCCTCCCATCTGTCAGGGTACCCGCGTCTCTGTGTGCAGTGGCTGAGGGTCGGACATCCCTGTGCCCTTCCGCACCGCGGGCCAGCGTGGCGCTGGTGACACCTGTTGCACCTGGGATGCTACGGCCCTGCTCACAGCACTGCCACCTGTGAGCCTGAGAATGAGTCATTTGGCAGCCGTGGGTCTTCCTTCTCCCCAGTGGAATCAGAGGTGCTCACACCTCCTTCTCTGCTCCTGGGAGTGAGCATGAGAATTAATTACTGGCACACCCCAGAACTGGCGAGGAGATGGCTCGAGGAGTGCTGCATGAGGAGTGTGTGGTGGGCTAACACACCCTGGGGAAAGGCTCGGAGGGCTCAGGAGGGAAGTGGCTGGCCAGGGTCCCACACCTGCATCCAGATGGGGGTGGCCGCCGACCAGCCCCTTGGGAGCCCTGGAGACTTGGTTGGCTCTGGCTGGAGGCTGTGGGAGCTTGATCTCTGCTGGGCTGCATCCAGCAGTTTTCTGTCCCAGACAGAGCAGCCTTGTTCTCTCCTCCTTAGACACAGTCATTGTCTGGCACGGAGCTCTGGGGGTGAGAGGTGTCCCGGGGCTTGGATGCCCTGCAAAGGCCCAGTCTGGCATGACTCCTAAATTAATAATGTATTTAGCTGTGGGAAGGGATCCTTGGTTGCCAAGGGCCTGGAGGAGGTGTCCCCCTGAATGCATCACAGCACAGCCTGGCTCGGAAAGGGTTACCGGGAGCCGCAGCCATCTTGCTGCGGAGGATGCTTTGTTCCCAGCTGAGAAGCTGAATAAATTCTTTCTAGGGCTGGTGGAATTCTCATCTAAAAGCCTCATCTGCCACTTTTGGGGGGCCTTTTCTGCACCCCTCCCCCAGCTTCTGCAGAAGACACTTTTAGCCCTTGAATCTCAGTGGAGAAGTTCTGAGTCGGGGGCAAGAGGCAGAGGCTGTTTCTTTAGCAAAAGAAGCTGGGTTTGCTCACTGTGGTCAGATAAACGTTATTTCATCTCGTTGTCTCCTGTATGTACCTCAGGCCTCTGAGACCTGAGGTATATTTTGTCTTTGAAGATGAGTCTGCCCCTCCCCCATCTCGCACCCATTTCTTCTTCCCTGTGCCCACACCCCCCTGCCCCCTGGGTCCATCCCCAGGGGTCCGGTGACCGTCTGACTTCTCCAGGGTACTCAGCCCCTTTCCCTCTGTTTTCTCCACAGCAAGCCCCACCCAACACGGACTGGCGTTTCTCTCAGGCCCAGAGACCCGGCACCAGCGGGTAGGTGACTGCCTCTCCAGCCCACCCTCTTCTCTGCGGCATTTTCTCAGCGATGACGTGGGAGGGGAGGGGGGAGGGCTTAGCATTCGCTACAAATGGCTTCTTCCCTCAGTTCCAGATTTCAAGGAGGTTTTGGTGTATTGGGGGCTGTCACACAGATTCCAGAAGGAAGAGGCTATTTTGGAAGCTCAGTTCACACGCTCATCCCCTCCCTCCTCCCACCATGGGAACCTGTCCAACCTCCTGGGGCTCTGTGGGACCACAAGATGGTTTTAAGGTGGTCTCTGGGTGGAGAGGAAGCGTATTATACCCATCTACTGCCCACACCCCCCCCCCCACTCTGGGCTGAGCTGAGCTCCATCCTGACCTGGGGTCCAGGCAGAGAAACCTGGGGCAGGAGGGGCAGAGGAGGAGCCTGCTGGAAAGAGCGGAGCTAGAGGAGGGCGGTCAGGCAGTGGTGGGGGAAGTGGGCACCGCACAGCTGGGGCTGAGGGGGAGCCTTCCTAGGGCGGCCTCCCTGGTCCTGCCCCTCCTCCGGCCCCCTGGGCCGCTCTGGCCTGGCCCTCTCAGCCTGTAGGCCTGTTGTCTCTGCCACTCTCTTATTCCTGCACCTTCTCTCTCTGTCCGTTTGCGTTCTCTGACTTTCCCTTGGTCTCTGTCTCAGTTTCTGTCCTTATTGCTGCCTCTCTGTCCCGCTGTGTGTGTCCACTTCTGCTGGTCTGTGCCTCACACTGAGCCTGCCGTGGCTAGGTGCTCAATAAATGTGGAATCGAATAAATGTGACTTCCTAGTCTCATTCTGTTTCTCTTTTCTCTGTTTCTGCCTCCCTGTCTCCATCCTTTTTCTCTTTCTTGTCTCTTCTTTCATCCTTTGCTAGTGTCCTTGTGTTCCTCCTCTGTCTCCTGTCTCTCTCTCTCAAGCTCTCTGAGTCTGTTGCCTGTCCCTTTCTGCCTCTCAGAGTCCCTCTCTCCATTTCTCTTTCTTCATCACTCTCTGTCTCTCTTTTATCCTGTTTGTTACTCGGTGACCCTGCCTGTCTCTCATTTCTTTGTACTTGTGGGCGAGCCAGCACACACATGTGCTCCCACCCCCTCCCTCCCCGTGCCCCTCGCACACAGAGCCTTTGATCTGCGCTTTCCACGCACACCCTCCCATCCAGGCTACCCCAGCTGCTCACTTCAGTCTGGTATGAATTCCTGCTGGGACAGGAACCCCCTGCGGGCGGAGGAGGAGGGAAACTTCAGCGGAAAGACCTTCAGTTGGTCTGAGGGAAGTGGGATGGGCCCTGGGCCAGGCCTCCCTGTTAGAAGTCGGAGCCAGTAGGAGTCCAGGGATCCCTGGAGAGAGGGGGGACAGAGTTGGCTGCCTCGCCGCCCCTCCCGGATGCTACAGATGCTGAGCCCTCGCAGCCACAAGAACCCAGGAGCCCGTGGTGGAGGGAGGGTGGAGGCTCCAGCTCCTGGGCAGGTGCAGTCCGTCCCTGGTATCGGGATCTGAAGGTGCTTCCTAGGAGGGCAAGAAAGCAGAGGAGCTGGACTGCCCTGGCCCTGCCCTGCACCCAGCGGTCTCCTTTCTCCCCACTGGCCTTGCCAGCCTTCCCATAAGTTATCCACTAGATCATTCACATATTCATTCATATATTCATTCAAAAATATGTATGGAGCATCTACTGTGAGCCAGCCCCCATGCTAACCACTGGCCTATAGGAATGAACAAGAAGACATGATCCTTGAACTCATAGACTTTCATGCCACCAGGGAGGCTGGAAATTGACAACAAATCACACACGAAAAGCACAGCAAGTTCTGAGAAGAGGGTAGTGAGAGTGTGGTGGTGGAAGGGGACAGGGAGGGCCTCCAGAAGGAAGTGACATTTGAGCTGAGGTGATGAGTGCCCCTTTCCCCACCCCCACCCCAGGCCATATACTAGCCCTGAAGCCGGATTCGGATTCATCGCTGAGCCTGGGAGCCTCACCAGTTGCTTCTGGTGTGCCCCCTGGGTTGAGCACCTCACCCCCGCCTCCCGCTCCTTTCCACCGAAGGAGAGACTGGGTGGCCTGAATACACACAGGGGCTCTTGGGGAGGCGGAGAAGGCTCGGGGGCTCTCCCATCCTTAACTCAAGCACGATGGGTCAGACGTTTCTGAGTCGGCTCTGAAGTGGCCCAGATGAGATGAGCATGAAGGGCCCGGTCCAGCAACTGCAACCTCCCTTCTCCATTCAATGAGGAGCAAGACCTACGATAGACCAGGTAGTATTCTAGATGGAGGGTATAAAAGGACAAACTCTCTGTCCTCGGGACTTTACAGTGTTGAGGGAGACAAGTATTAACCAGTTAATCACCAAAAAAACAAAAATAAGCATGATTGCAGCTGCCACAAGTGCTATGAACAGTCCCGATAGCGAGAGCCGAGAACGGGCACTGGACGGGATCAGGGAGCAGGAGGACATCCAGGAGGAAGTGAGGCTGTGCTGGGATCTGAATGAATAGGAATTACCCAACCAGGGGAGAGCGCGAAGAGCATTCCAGGGACAGGGAAGAGCATGCGCCAAGGCCCCTGGGGAGGCATCTCAGGACAGAGGATGACAGGGAGCTCTTTCTGGGCCGCCGTTCTGACGAGGACATTGGAGTCTGACTGTGGTTCCAGTCTGACTGTGCTTCCTCCATTGCTTTTCTGCCCCACTCCTTCCCCACCGTCTTGGCTACTGGCACAACAGGTTCAAAGCAGGGCTAGCCCTTCAGTAGACCTTGTTCAAGTTCAAGCCAGCCCTCAGTCACATTGCCTAGACAAAAGGGGAACAGACTAGCGCTCTGAATGAAGTTCTTGCTTGCCAGGTGCTCCTCATCCCCACCACTGCCCTCCTCAGATCCTCCGTCCAGTTCCTGACCCCGGCAGCCGTTGTCTCAGCCTCTCCTGGTCCCCACTCAGTCCTTGAGATGGTTTCACCCCAGCCTCCGCCTCCCCTCCACCCAGCCACCCCTCCAGACGCTGCCTCCGCTGTCCCTCAGTGTGGGCGGTCATTCAGCAAGCAAGAGGCCGCTCACTTCTTTTCTGCTTGTAAAATAATACATGCTAATTATAGAATCATCATGAGAGAGAGAGAGCGCGCAATTTTTTTAAAGTACTCATAATTTCACAACCCAGGGAAACCACCACTGACAATTTTTTTTAATATGGAAAATTTCAAATCTATACAAAAGTAGAATACCAAAACGAACCTCCAGGAGCCCACTGTTCAGCTCGACTAATTCCTGGTCTTGCTTTCCTTCTCTTCACCCCGCCCTCTCCTGGTTTACTCTGAATGCGCTCAGCCGTTATGTGACTTTATCTCAGTCTTCACTATCTTTAACAATTTTTTAAACGTGTAAGCACTAAATATATTAACAAAATAAAAATTAATATATTAGTAATAAATAATATTAATGAGCTAATATCACATTTTCCCAATTATATTTCTCTTTTCATTAACTTATTTACATGCTTATCCAAATTGAGGTCTCCAATTTGTCTGTGTTTGGTTGAGTATCTCGATTCTCTCAAGCTCTTTTAATACTTTCACGTGTGTCTTTCTAAACCCTTTGTGCGGTCAAGCCACATGCACAGGCTTCCTCTTTTTAAAAAAATATAATTTACTTAAATAAACTGTTTATGAATTTGTTCACAGAATACTGAGAACTTTCATTCCCAGTAAGCTGGTATATTTCTCACCATGTTTTTTCTTTGCAGTAATTGAGGTCACACTCTTCATTATATTGTAGCTTTTTTTTGTCTTTGCAATATATAACAAAAATTCCACAAAAATTTCCTGAAGTCATTTAACTATCAGAGAGTAGCCCCATGTATAGGGTGGGGCAACAGCAGGTTTGCAGTTGTGACTACGTGAGACGGAGTTTATTCCTGCATTATGTGTGACTTATCAGTGATGGTAGTATTTCCCATAAGTTCACGGACAACGGTAAACTTACTTTTGTCCAGCCCTGTATATGTGTATTTTTAAATGCTAATAGGCTTTTACAGCATTGAAAGTGTATCCGTGCACTTACATTTTATCAGTTACTCCAGGCTGTTATCAGGGGCGACTTCCCCAGATTTCTTCTTTTTTTTTTTTTGAGCCTGACTGTACCAGAGCCCACCTCTGGGATGCTCCCAGCACATGCCCAGTACCGGGGTGCAAGCTCCTTGGGGCGAGGGCGGTATCTGTCATCTCGTGAGTCCTCGGGCCTGTCACGGGCCCTGCCCCGGAGTGGGCGCTGGGAAAGTGGTCGGTTAGATGTAGTCTCTCTCCTCCACTCTCACGTTTTCATTGCTTCCCAAATCCTGGAAGAGTCCCCTGTGCTTGCTTCTGGGGGTCCAGCCCCTCCCTGCCGAAGCCCAGTGTGTTGTTGTGTGTGAGATCGTCAGCTTTAGGGTCCCTTCAGGCCCGTTTCAGGGTGTAGGTCCGCCCGTTACCGGCTATGTGACTTTGGGGGAAGTTCGTCAACCTCTCAGAGCCCTGGTTGCCTCTGCTGGAAAATAGGGCTAATCACAACACACATGGTTCTGAGATTAAAATACACCACACACACACACACACACACACACACACACACACACGTGCCAGTCATCCACTCATCTCCTGCCCAGCTTCAAAGAGCTGGCAGCCTGCCCACGTGCTTGGCCTCCAACCTTCAACTGTTTGCCTAGAATCCTCCTTACAGCCCAGCCCTCTCCCTTCCTCCTACCTTTACTCCCTCAACACCACCGCCCGCCTCCACAGGGCGTCCTCCTAACCTGGCATCTGACCCCGTTGTCCACCTCACAGCCCCGGAGTTCTTCTCCTGGTTGCCCGCCCCCAACCTGCTCCCCGAGTGTCCGCATTAGGCCCTATGCTGAGGGCTGAGCCCCCCTGTCTGCACCCTGCACCCTAGGCAGGCCCAGGGAGCTCAGCCAGGCTGCCAAGCAGGACTTCTGGGTTTTCATGGAGACTGGGCCCTGGGTCACCTCTCACAGGAGCAAGAGTGATCCATAAATACTTACCCTAAAGCCGGTCATGACAACTCCCCCAAACACCTCATGGAGTCCCAGGGCTCTTAGCAGGAGACCAAAATCTTCCATGTGGCTCTGCAGCCACAGCCCCCGAAGACACCTCCCCTCTTGCCCTTAGTCCTTTGAACTGGCCCAGCCTCCCCCAGCCTCAGGGCACGCAGCTGTCTCCCACACCACCACCCACACCTTCTCCTAGAAAACGTAATCTTTTTTACTTTAGAATGTTTCAAACCTATGGAAAAGTTGAAAGAATGGCGTGACGAACATCTGCATAGTTTTTTTTTTTACCTAGATGCATCATTTGTTAATATTTTGCGCACTTGTTTTATCTCTCTCTGTACTGACACACTAACAGACTCACACACCCACACACACTCATACACAGACTCACACACTCATGCTTTCAAGGCCTGGTGCCAAATCCTCATCGTGACCTAACCCGTGCCACAGGCTTTTTCCCGTTTGTCTGGCTCAGGCAACACAGGTTTATTGAGGAACTTCGGGTGCCAGCCGGTGCCAAGAGTCGCCTGATAGACGGTGTGTGTGTGTCAGGGTGCTTCCCTCTTTCCTCAAAAACGGAAACGATTTGGTCCTTGATAACTCCGAAAGAGCGTGGAAATAGCCGCCCTGGGAAAAACCCAAGTTGGGTTGGAATTCTTTTGGGCTCTTTTCCCGGCTAGCGTTCCTCACAGTCACTCCGTGCTCTTCCCAACGCTCAGAGCGTCCAAAGGTCTGGCTCGGGGCTGCAGTAGGGAGCAGGCCGACACCCGGGGCAGATCTGGGGGGCTGGGGGCCCTCTGACAAACTGTGTTGGTTTTACTGAGGTGGAGGGGGCCGGAACTGGCATTCCAGAGAACAGGAACAGGCCGGAACTGGCATTCCATCTGCCCGGGCTTTGCTGTAAGGGAGAGCTTGAGGAATTAGGGAAGGGAATCTGAAAAAGTTTGGTGGTGGGTGTTTGGGAGGGGCCTGGGGTGTTCTTGTAAAGCCGAGGGGCGGGTTCTCGCCTGCCCTGCGTTCTATCCCGAGGGCTTCACGCCTCTCTGCCCCAGGGTCCCCGGCCTCTCCCTCTAGGCTCTCACACCTTTCTCTGGCTCCGACACACTCTTCCATCTCCCACCTTCCCTGCCCGGAGAGGCCGACCCCCTCACCGTGACAGTGAGCGCTGCTCTGTCACAGACAAGTCACAGCCTACGCGGCTGTGTGTGTCCACGGCCGCAGTGTCTGCGGCGGGTCTGAGACGGTGAGGCTCGGGTGCAGGGGCCTGGTTCCTGAGGGGTTGTACAAACTACCCCCACCTTGCTGACAGGGGGTGTGAGGTGGGGAGAGGGTGCAGGGGGGCGGGGGCTAGGCTGGCCTGGGGCGCTGTGCTCACCATCCCACTCTCTCCAGCTCCCAAAATGGCGATGAAACCGGCACCTGGCCCAACAACCAGTTCGACACGGAGATGCTGCAAGCGATGATCCTGGCCTCCGCTAGCGGTGAGTGGTGCAGGGCAGTGTATGCGGGTGGGGGGTGAGATGTGGAGTGGGAGGTGGGAGGCCTGGGGTTCTGGGGCGCCCCACAGCCGCCACACCCAGAGGCTGTCTGTCCACCTGCACGGTTTCTGTGGATCTCTCTGCTGTTTGAGAGGACCTGTAACTGTAGGACATAAAGGGGGGCTGAGGGCCAGCCGAGGGAGGGGTGGGAGGCTGGGGTGCCCAGAGGGGAGCGAACAAGGAAAGGCCCACTGAGGACATGTGCGGAGGAGTGGTTGAGGATCTGGCTCTGGGAGGGGACAGCGTCAGTCCAGTCCCAGCTCTGCCACTTAGGGTCTCTGTGACTTCCATGAGTTTGCTTAATCTCTCTACACCTCAGTTTCCTGGGCCCAGAAAACAGGGGCAGCCACTAAAGGGCTGTTGTGAGGCCCAGAGGGGAGGGCGCCACAGAGCAGGAAGTCACGCCAGCCCTCGGTCCACGGGTGGGGGTGGGGGGTGTTCCCAGCAAAGCGAACAGGCTTGGGTGCTTGAGACCTTCTCTCTGGTTTGCTGACCCCACCTGCAGAGAAGGATTTGGTCTTCTCACGCAGCTAACAAAGAACGTCACATGCAATGGGGACGCAGAGGGTGGCTGTTGTCCCAGAAGAGTCACGAGGGTCCCGAACAGGGAAGCAGGGTCATCTCACCAGCACTTAGGCACGCAGGCAGGCCTGGAGACAGCCCAGCATGGACTCCGGTCCTGGCGCCGCCGCCTTACCTGAGAGTCCTCGGGCACGTTCCCAAGCCCCTCCGGGCCTCACAGGCGCTGACTCTGAAATGGGCGCAGTAATAACAGGTCTCGTGTGGGGTCGAGAGGGCCGGTATCAGGCCTCGGCACAGAGTTGGCAGAGAGGAAGGGCACAATATGTAGTGGCCAAAACTGATTAGTTACGATCTTTATTGATCCATACATAGGAGTAGAAGGAAGACAGAATTAGAATACTGCCTGTTCGTAAGGACTGGCTCCTGGAGCAGCAAATCCCGGGCTCACACAGAGGCCGGTGGGGGAATGTACAGTGGCTGAGAGCCCTGCCCTCCTGCGTGGAGGGCTGGGGGGTGGACAGCGAGGTAGAATCAAACACAGTCACCACACCCACGCCTGCGTACCATCCCAGGCGCGTGTTAGACACCCTTCATGGGCCTCATGCCGACCAGCCCCTCAGCCGCTCTGCAGGGCACGTCTGAGTACTTCCACTTGACCGGAGAACTGAGTAGTCACTTCTCCAAGGCAGCAGACTGGCCACTCTAAACTGGCCCGACTCCCAGGTTCATGTCCTCTCTGCTCCAATGACCATGTCTGCTTTGAGATCCAGCCTCAGTGTCCCCTTCAGCTAAACAGTTCTAGAGGCTGAACTCTCACTGCCCTGCCTTATTCCCCCAGGTGAGGGTGGCCAGATAGAACACAAGATGGTCAGTTAAACTTTAACTCCAGACAGACAACAACTAATACCCAGCGTAAGTGGGCCCGCACGCTCGCTCGCAGCAGGACAGACAGCGCTGAAACCTTGCTCGTCGTCATCGACCTGAAGTTCATATTTAACTGAGCGCCCTGTATTTTTGCCGCTAAATCTGGCCAGCGTCCCCCAGCTGTCTGCGGGGCTGGGCAAGGCCAGGACTGCGGCTGGGAAGGGTCGGAAGTGGCCCGAGAGGCCAGATGCTGAGTGTGAACAGCGGCGGCGCCGGCTCTGGGGAGACGCCAAGTCGGGATCTTGAGGGAAGTAAACAGACAGTCAGGTATATTTAGCTCTTGTGGTGCTGAGCCCTAAGGCCAGGAAGCAGGCTTTCTAGCCTAAATCCAGACTTTAAAAACAGAAATGGAGTATTTATGGCCCCAAACCCTCCTAGAAGTTCCCCTGGGTCATTGCAGGCTGCCTCCCTCTCAGGACTCCGGCCTCCGGCCCACGCAGGGCCTGACCTGAGTGTAAGCCGGGCCCTGGGGACAGCCCCTGAGGGCCGAGGGGTCGGAGGGGTCGGGTCAGGCCCCACTCTCACTTTCACACCCAGTGCCTTGCCCTGGAGCCAGAGAGGTTCCTGGAGCCCAGCCCAGCCGGTCTGTGGGGCTGCTGAGGGGGAGTGAGTATGAGGGAGAGAGTAAGGACACTTGGGAGGCTTCTTAAATAAACATTTCAGGGAGGAGGTGTGCTCTCAAGGAGCCTGTGGTTTGCAGGTCATCTGGCTGAGGTCTAGCTTGACCAGACCTCGCTGGGCTGGGCTGGGCTGCTCTGGAGTGCTGCCTTAGTCCCCGGGAGGCGAGGCGGGACCTGCGGGAGGTTGCAGGTTACTGGGCCTGGAGCCGGTTTCCCAGGTGAGGCTGGCGCAGGAGAGGAGGCCAGCACCGCTTCCACCTCCTCCAGAGCAGAGGGCACTCAGGTTCTTTCTTGCTGCTCCTCAAAGTCGGTTTCTCTCAGGACCGAGGGAAGGTCCTGGCCCCAGCCCGGTGTAGGGTAGAAGGAGGGGCTGTTGGAGAACCGCTTCTAAGGAAGGCCAGAGCCTGCAATCCAACGTCTCCCCCTCACATTTGTAGACAGGGAAACTGAGGCCCCAGTCATGCAGGGCCTGGGTCAAGGTCACACAGCCCAACTCCACTGCACCGTGTAAGGCCCGGCTGGTGTCAGGGCTGGCTCTGCCGGTCTCGCTCACAGCGGGGCTCCTCAGGGGTCTTGGGTGCATGGGGGACGTGGGTGGGCCTAGCTTCCAGCTACCAGTCAAGCCCATCCTTCCTTCCTGTTTCTGCCTCCCTCCTCCCTGTTTCTCTCTGGCTCTTCTCTACATCACTCTGCAGTCCTGGCTCCTGAGGCCAGAGCTGGCCCCCTCCCCCAGCCCCTCCATTCCCAGGCGGGAAGAGGGAAGGTGGGAGGGGAGGGGGCCAGCAGTCGAGGTCCCAGCTCCCTCCTGGAGTCAATTAGGGAAACAGAGAAATGTCCATGGGGCCAAGGGGCTGGGGGAGGGAGGAAAAGAGAAGGAAATGGGCAGCTGCTCCCTCCCCACCCCCAAGGTCCTCTGATCGGGGATTGGGGATTTGAAATGGAGCCAATAGAAACCTGAGCCGCTGGAGTGAGAAGGCGGAAAGACGAGGCTCATCCGTCCTTGCCTTCTCTCACGCCCCTCCCCCCTCATGCCATTCTTTGAAAATACTTCCTGTCTCTCTCAATCCCTGGTCGGTGTCCCAGGATTACTCAGCTTCTCCAGGCTTTAGTCACCCTCTCTACTCACCCCCAGGGTTGGGGCGGGGGCAGAGGGAGGCCAGGGGAAAGCTCCTTTGCCGGCCTGGGGCCTTAACCCTCCCACGGCCGGCAGGAGGGCTCCGTGGCCCGCGAGCTCAGGCGAAGCCATCCAGCTCCCAGTTCCTTCCCCCTAACGCACACGCGCGCGGCGCAACGACGCGCCGGGTGGGGATGACGACCGCAGCAGCGAGCACGCAGTGCCTGGGCCCTGGGCGAAGCGCTGCCTCATTGACGCCTCACGAAAGCCCGCTTCTGAGCGTCTCTCCCTGGGACGTGCACACAGACCGCCCGGAGAGCTGTTCGAAGGCCGACTCCGGGAGTCCGGCTTTCTGACACGCTCCCGGGTGAGGCTGAGCCGAGGCCAGGGTGTGTGCTGCCCTGGACCCCTGTGTCTTCTGGGGCAGGCCACTGTCTTTGATGTCATCTGGCTCTGACACTGTGAGCCTGAGATGATGTCCCGAGATCGTCACCTGCTCAGCCCCGTAGAAGGCTGCGCGCTCTGTCTCCTCTCCTCTCCTTTACCCAGAGAGGAGTTTTGGGGGCCATGCTGCTGCTGCTGCTGCTGCTGGTGCGTGCCCTCCCTGCACTCACACACACTCAGGCCTCACCCCTGTTCGGCCCTGTGCTGGCTGGTTTGGTCACGGGCTAGTCTTACCTTCTCGGAGCCTTGCTTCCCTGATCTGTGAAGTGCGGGCCTCACCGCATGCCTGGCTGGGCTGTCGAGCTGAGGTGAGAAGCGTCTTGCACGTGCACCATCTAGCAAAGGGCTTGGCGCAGAGCAGGCTGCAGTTGCGGTTCTGAAGTGAATGCCTGGAAGAGCGCCTGCTCCTGGTCAGTAACAGAACTGCAAAGTACCCGCTGTGTGCCGGGTGCTGGCTGGAAAAGGGGGAGAGGAAGATGGACAAGCCATGGCGGAAGGGCCCCAGAGGCCCACAGCCCCGTGTGGAAACCCGAGCGGCTCCCTTGAGAAGGGCCGGGGCGAGGGTTTGAGAGCCAGTGCCTCAGCCCAGAGAGAAGGAACAGCTAGCATCTTTTTAGCCCCTGCCTCGGGTGAATAGGTAAAAGAACTAGGGATCAAATCTAGGCTGTTAGTCCAGAAACCCTTACCTCTGCCCCCTGTGATGGAGCTGGTCTTCCCTGGGCTCAGGGGGGTCCGGGCTTCGTGATTGGCTGGCATTCATTAACTGCTTGTCCTCCAGGAGAGTGACAGTGGGGGACCCAGAGGTTAGCCCCTGACTTTCTTCTGTCTCTGCAGAAGCTGCTGACGGGAGCTCCACCCTGGGAGGGGGCGCCGGCACCATGGGCTTGAGCGCCCGCTATGGGCCCCAGTTCACCCTGCAGCACGTGCCCGACTACCGCCAGAACGTCTACATCCCCGGCAGCAACGCCACGCTGACCAACGCGGCGGGCAAGCGGGACGGCAAGGCCCCGGCAGGCGGAAACGGCAACAAGAAGAAGTCAGGCAAGAAGGAGAAGAAGTAAAGCGGAGGCCGGCCTGGAGCCACAGGGCCCGCTCCCCCCAGCCCGCCCCGCCTCTCCCACCTGGACCCAGGACCGGGGTCTCCAGGGCTCACCCCCAGGATCCTGGCGGCCCGGGACACGCTCCCCTTGGGAAACAGAAACAAGTGCCCAGTCAACACCCCTCTCTGCCCCCAGGGGATCGAATATGCAAAGGGAGTTCCGCAGGGAACCCCCGTCCAATCAACGGCTGTGCCGCGGGCCGCGGGGCAGTGCGCGCAGCACTGGTCGCGCTGCTGCAGTCACAGCTGAACTCCTCCACCTCCAAACCCAGTCAGGCCCCAGCAGGACCACCGCCCGCCCCCTCCCGCCCATGCCACCCCCTCCTTCAGCAGCTCCTCTTTCTTCAGTAAGGCGGTTGGGGTGTTGAGGTACCTGGTGACCTAAAAAGGTTCCTAGTTCTGAAGAGTTGAAAGGGCATCGTGACCTCTTGGCCTATCCTTCAATTCTCAAACTTCCCCCAAAGCGTGGTTTGGTGCCAGGCCTTCGCCTCCTTCCTCAGCCTGAGACCCAGCTCATGTTTTGGGAGACACGGTCACCATTCCATGGTACTGATGCTTGCTGGATTCAGGGAGGGCATTTTGCTGCCATGCCTCTTCCCGATGCCCTAGGGACCAGTTGTTTCGTTTTGTTTTGTTTTTCATTGTTTGATGTTCCCACTGCATGCTGTGGCTGCCCCTCCCTAAACCAGAGACTTCACTGCATGTTCCAAGACGGTGTGGGGTGGTCGGACAAAGAAGGAAAGAGTATGTATGTGGCGGGGAGAGGGTGGATACACCTTGACCCATCAGTTAACAGTTATCAGGAGGCTCTGTATGTCCCCAGGGTACTGACCAGAGCTTTCCAGCCATAAACCAAGAACCGGGCTGGACCCTCATCTCCCACAGGCTCGGGGCTGAGCGGCCAGCACCAATGATCTCAACTGGCGTTACAGTCCGAGGAAGGTCTGAGCAGGTTCGCGACCAGGTCCCCTGGAGAGATCAGAGGGGCCTCTGTGGGTGCTGGGTACTCCGGAGGTGCCAATAGTGGAAGGATCAGTATGCCCCCCCCACCCCCAGGCCAGCTAGGCCGTTCATGGTTCCTGGGCTGGGGAGGCAGAGGGGCTAGAGCAGGGATTAAGTGGACAGAACGTCTCAGCCGCAGGATCAGTCTTCTCCACGGGGCCCCTGCATTCCCCAAGGCTCGGTCCTTCACCTTGCCAGGTGCCATTTCTTCTCTGTTAAGGCCACTGCCCAGGCCCCCGGTGTGCCCCCTAGTGGCCAGGGCCTGGTTCAAGTCCCTAGTGCCTCCTTGTGCATAAACCTAACTCTGCCCACCCACTTCTACCCCCGAGTCCCGTTCACGCACCGGGGCTGAGTGAGAACCCCACCCTAGTCCTTACAGTAGTGTAGAGACCCCTCCCTCCCTCCCTCCTTTGGCTGGTGTAGAATAGCCAATAGTGTAGTGCGGTGTGCTTCCCTGTGATGGCGAGGTGGCAGCGGGCAGCGGGCCCCGCGCAGCCGTCTGTCCTCGAATTTGCCTGCGGCGGCCCGTGCTGTGTTTTGTGCTGTGTCCACGCGCTGCGGCGACCCCCTCCCCAATACTGACTCCTATAAGCGCTTCTCCTGGCATAGTCACGTAGCTCCCCACCCCTTTCCTGTGTTTCACGCAAGTTTTATACTCTAATATTTATATGGCTTTTTTCTTTGAAAAAAAATAAAAAGGTTTCTTCTGAAAGTTTGAACGTTTCTGTTTAAATATGGAAGCTCCTGAGTCGTCTGGATGAAGTAACGAGCTGAGGGGTGCATGCTGGGCGGAGAGCGGGATCGGGAGGCAATTATGGCGTTTGCGTGTTGGTCTGGTGTGGTCGCCGTGAGTCTGCGTTTGACTATCAAACGTGACTGTGTATGCTCGCAAGACCCTCTTGCATATGTAATAGCATGCGACTGACTCAGTGTGCGGGCGGATCTGGATACCGCGTGTGTCATCGGCTCGCGGGCCCGTTGTGGGGGAGGGACGTCAGCGCGGCGTGTCGGTGTGCAGTTGAGTGCGCAGTGGGATGCGCGGCTGTCTCCGTGCCAGGGCTAACAGAGCGCCAGTCTCCAGGCAGAAGAGGAGACCCGAGCGCGGGGGCGGACGCGGGTTGGCGCCCAGCAAACCGCGCTGCAGAGGGGGCGGGGAATGTCTCCTTAGTGCCAGCCCCTTCGCAGCCGCGCCGACTACCTCCGAGCGCCTTAGCGGGCTTGGCGGAGGGGGCGGGGGAACTTTCTTTGCCCGTCTCCCTCCGCCCCCGCTGCCTCGGCGATTTGGGAACACCGCCAGAGAGGCAGGGGATGCCCGAGGCGATTCTTCGAAGTCCGCGTCCGCGTCCGTAGCGTGGGCCTCAGTTTCCCCGCTTGGAATTCACCTTCCCGCGCGTCTCTCAGCAGCGGAGCCAAGGAAATTGGAGGGCTCGCCTTCTTGTGCGGGGGTGGTCTAGGGGACTGAAAGGACTGGAAATGAGATAGCCCACTTCAGGTCGCCCTCCCACCTTCCCCTCTCTTCGTGCTTTTCCATTCACTGGTCCGCTCGCCCGTCTCTCTGCCTGCTCAGCCCGTCTCCTCGAAGCACAGTGGGATTCCTAGGTGGCCGCAGCCTGAGAAGCCGCAAGAGGCACAGAGGGAGGGAAGGCCGGGAGGGGCAGAAGGAGAGAAAGGCAGACCCACTGGGGTGAACGGGCGGGCCAGTGAGGGTGTGCCCTAGCACCGGGAGGGAGGAGGCCGTTTCTGGGCCGCCTCGGCGCGGAGCCTCTCAGAGCTGGGTCCTTCAGTCTGTTGTCATGGAAACCAAGCCTTCCAACTAAGCATCCGGGGGTGACTTTCCTGCGTGGGAGAGAGGGTGGTGTGCGCAGCTGCTGAGATGGAAGCAGGGTTTTGCGTCTGAGAGCCAGGCTGCAGAGGGTGGGGAGCCGGGCGCCTGGGTTCTATTCTAGGCACGGCGGTAGACTGGCAGAGCGTGAGCAGCTGTGGCCGGTCCCCTAATTGGTATGTGTGCCTATGAAGCTTTGAGCCAGAAACGCGTGGCCTCTGGGGTGGAGGGAAAGAGGAAGCAGGCAGCCCACCCCACATCTCCAGCCTGACTAGGGAGGCAGCTGCCCAGGCTCCAGGGCTATTTAAAAGGCTCTTATTTCCAGTTCCAGAGCCTGCCCAAATGGGTTTGTGGTCCCCTCCAGGCCCCTCCCTGCCTATTCTGGGCCTGCGCATAGATTGTAAGGTTTCTTTGTGCAGGTCAGCACGTGCTCAGACATGTATGACTCTGGAGCAGCAAGTCATCCGGAGCATGACCTCTGGCGTCTGACCTCCGCTGGGCAGGCTCAGGCTTCCACCCGTGTCAGCCCCTCCAGTCTGGATCTTGGTGTGTGGCCATCAACGGGGGTGGGGGGAGGGGAGAGGAGAATAGGAGTCAGATGTTTCCCTCAGGGAGAGGCACAGGTATTGCCAGGAAACTATGACACCTGGGAGCAAGGGAGCTGGGCAGAATTTAAGGGTTCCAGGCAATTCCAAGCCAGGAGGCAGCAATGACGAGGGGCGTTGGACTGAACGGGGCCCCACTCCTTTATGCAAACCGCAGGCAGAAGCCACCACATGTTAACCATCAACGCCAGCCAGCGTCTGGCACAGGAAGGGCACCTGGGACTTCTTGACAATGATCTGTCAGGCTAACCAGGGATTTGAGGCAGGACAAGACGGAAGAGCCTGGATAAGAGCAAGAACAGCTCCGACATTCACACAGGAGGCGGTAAAGCAGTAGTTTCAATGCTTTATTAACAGTTGGAGACAAACCCAACAAACTGGAGGTGATGACATCCCAGAAGCCCAAGAGGTGAGGGAAACAGGTTTGCATTTTGTCCCTTATTTACTTATTTTTTTATGAAATGCATCTTAGCAAAAGTAGATTAAAAAAGAAAGGGTCAAAGCCCCAGATGTCAGCAGGCAGAAGGAGGGGACCTAGGGAACAGCAGGCCCCTCATGCCAGGCTTCCCGGGAACAGCTCCGAGCAGCTGCCGCTGCCCCCACACAGGCCGGGCAACCGGAGCCCTTCTTCCCAGCCACTGGGCTTCCTGCAAGTGCCCTCCGTCTCCCTAAGGACTCCGGCATGCTGGAGCCACGGTTCTGGGCCTAGTCCTAGCAGTGCTTTCCTCTCTCCCTGCCTGGCGGTGGGCAGATGAAAGCAGCACAGGGAGGGCACAGCGCCACCTGAGCCAGAGTCTGAGCTTCCCGAGGCCGGGGCCACGGAACAGTGTGGCCTACCCACTGTTTCAGAAGGGCGCAGGGCTGCAAAGTGTGGGGGCACTCCTGTGCCCACTCCCCCAGAGTGTCCAGTTAGCATCTGCACATTTGGCTTGATAAATATATTAAATTTATAAAAACTCTGTGGTCTCAGAGCTCCCACTACCCTCAGGCCTGGTTCAACTCAACCAGAGAGGAGCTTCCTCCTGTGCACACCCGACGCTGGCGGAGCAGCTGCACCGCCCCGAGGGCCCAGAGGCATGGCAGCTGAGGCGCAGGTCCCAGGGCCTGGCCAGGACTGAGGCCCGAGGAGAGTAGCCCCAAAGACTCTGGAACCTGCCATCAAGCCTCTTATATTATGGAGGAAAAGGGGGAAAGGAAGATTTATTTTTCTTAAAAAAAAAAAATCTCATACAAAAATAGATCCATTTGCAAAACAATTTCTCAGCCAGGAGGCTCCACCTCCCATTTTCTTGGAGACAGAGGGTGAGGTGCTGGGACGGTCATAATGCAGCCCACACTCCAGATGCAACGCACCAGAGCTCCGGGGAGGGCACGGGGTGAGACCACGGCTCGGTAGCCGGGGGCTGGTGCAGAGGGTCCAGAGAGGCAAGGGCCCAAAGCAGGGCAGCAGGCTGGGGCAGACCCCATGGGGTCTCTGTGTCCTTCCTGCCGGCCCACACGCTCTGGCCAAGGCCACAGTGGAACGGATAAAAGTGGTCCTCTTTGCTGTGGGAGGCCTTTCTCAGGAAGGTGGAGTAAGAGTGGGATGTGCCCCCCACTTCCTTAGAAGCAGCTCCCCATGCCACACCGCTAGCAATAAATAACTGCCAGGAGAAGAAAGGGTGGAAAGGCGGAGAGGTGACAGCAATGAAAGGCGGGGTAAAGCCCAAAAGTTCACAAGCCCCATGCTGTTCTCAGGGCCAGAAAAACCACAAAAGAAAAGCACAAACTCAGCAAAATTGACCTACAGGAAGCCCACTGGAAAGCCAGGGGCTGAGAGAGCAGGCAGGCCTTGTCTGAGACAGGCCTCCAAGTAACAGAGGGGAGACACTTGGGGTTAAGGCAGCAGCAAACACGGAGCCTGCTTTGGTAATGCAACAGCCAGGGCCGGCTGGGTTGGGCTCAGGCCTCCCCTACACTGCCCCTTCCTTCTGGCCTCCAGGCAGTTGAAGCCGAATGTCATGTACAGAGAGCAGCAGGCCAGAGAGGAAGACAGGGTCGGGTGATGGGAGCGGCCACCCCATGGGGAATCTCCACGATCCTTCAGGCACAGGCTGCAGGGCAGGACGGTCTGCGCCTCACCGAGGAGCTGCCACGGCCACAGGACCCAGATTAGCTGGCACGGCCAACCAGCTCCATGGCTTCCTCCAGGATCGTGGGGACTCCGTCACTGCCCTTGGGCACCTTGGCAGGGACAGCAGTCATGGCATCATCCTTGGTCAGCTCCGAGGCCAGCAGAGAGGTGACAGCACACCCAGCCTTCCTGTTGGCTGCAAGAGAAGACACGAGAGATTTTGTTCACAGAAAGCCCAGCCTCTGACCCGCTCTGAACTCTAGGGCAGACGTTTATAGCCAGATGCCACACAAACGTGGCTGCCCTGTCCAGTTCTCAGAGGGTCCTACTTTGAAGGAGGAGCAGAGACCTAGGAAGATGTGGAATACACCCCTGGGTCAGGGTGCAGCAAATATTAAGAGAGTATGGCGCAGGCAGGAGCGCAAGCCACGCTCTTGCTTTCCGTGTGAAAACAGGACAAAGGTGAGGGTTCGATGCTGGTCAGGGCACGTATAAGAATCAACCGATAAATGAGCGAATAAGTGGAACAACAAGTCAATGTTTCTCCTTCTTTCTCTGAAATCAATCAATAAAATATTTTTAAAAACAGCATAACCCCAGCCAGTGTGGCTCAGTTGGTTGAGTGAAGTCCCACAAACCAAAAGGCCAGGGGTTCCATTCCCGTCGGGGCACAGGCCTCGGCGGCCGGTTTGGTCCCCGACTGCGGCACCTTCGGAAGGCAGCCAAGTCGATGTTCCCCTCTCACATCGATGTGTCTCTTACTTTCTCTCTCCCTTTCCCTCTCTCTAAAATTGAAGCTTTTTTAAAAACTAAAAAAACAACACAAGGGTTTGAAGACAGTGAGACAGAACAAGGCCCAAGCGCTAACTATGTCACTCAAAGAGAGAGAAAGCCCCCAAAGTCAGTTTTCTCCTCGCAATGCTGTTGGAATTAAACAGCCTCGAGCCTAGCAAACAGTGTTCCTCTTGTTCTGTGGGCACTTCCCAGGAAGCTCCGAGGCTGAGGGCAAAACCCCAGGGGGGCTTCTGCAAAGAGGAGCGGCAGCCCATGCTGACATCACATGCCTGTCACACTGCCGCGCATGCCCCCAACCCTCCCGCCCTCCCCCCAGATGCGCACACACCTAGCTCACCCCCCCACCCCGCAAGGACAGCAATGCCAAGGGCCCTACTGCGTGTCTGGGGGGTGGGGATGGGGAACGGGGTGATGAAGCGAAGTTGGGGAAAACAGAGCTAGGGTCAGGGATGGCCGGAAGTGGCCTCTACAAAGAGACACCAGGCCAGTGGGCTACGGGACTGTGAGGAACCAATCAATCCACGAGCTGCTGTTCTAGCTGCTGGAAGCTGTTCCCGGGACCCTCACATTCATTCGGGGAATCCAAATTTACAGCCCGTTCCCTGAACACAAAGGCAGTCCCCTGGCACTGTGCTGCCTGCCTCTCCCCACGGCCGGGGAGCCGCATGGACAGACCGCAGGCACACCCACAGCTGCCTGCCCGGGGAGAAGGCAGGACACGCAAGAGGCCACGAATGCTGATTCCATTTCTGCCAAGTGTCTGCAATGGGCAAAGCCATAGAGACAGGGAAGTAGATTAGTGGTCGCCAGGGGCTGGGGGAAGGGACAATGAGGAGCGACTGCTAATGGGTGTGGACTTTCCTTCTGGGGTGATGAGAATATTCTGGAATTAGATAGTGGTGATGGGTGCACGGCCTTATGAATATACTGAAAAACACTGAATTGTATTCTTTAAAAGGGTGTATTTAGGCATGTGGTCTGTATCCCAATTTAAAAAACAAACACTTGCCGGGTCATGGGAAAGCTGAGTGGAGAAAGCAGCATGTAAATCCGAAAGGAGCAGGGAGAGAGGAAGCCTGGTTCTCCTAACCGCAGGCTCCACCCCTACACGCAGGCTCCACCCCTAAACACAGGCTCCACCCCTACACGCAGGCTCCACCCTACACGCAGCTCCAACCCTACACGCAGGCTCCACCCCCCACACGCAGGCTTCACTCCTAACATGCAGGCAGCTGCGCCCCGCTTGAGGGAAGGGGTCCAGAGGAGCCAGTGAACAAAGCATCCAGAACACCTGTGCCTTCTTCAGACCAGCAAAAAGCTTTAGAGAGGGCAGAAGCCAAAAGGGTTAGAGGGCCCAAGTCATCACCAGGGCTGTTAGCTTCTCTGCAGAACCACTGTGTTCACACGGCAAAGGCGACCGACAGGGCAGCAGGGAACGCATAGCATGCCCACCGGTTACCAGTTTGCGGGTGTCCTCCTCCTCCTCCTCCTCCTCCCAGGGGCACAGGGGGCTGTCTAACAAGAGGAGAAAGGAGAGTGAAGGCCCTGACCGACAGACAGACACGAGGCCACCTGGTTGCAGGTGGGGGGTGTGACTCCGGGGCTGTCACGGGAACCACTCCTTGGACCACACACATAAAATACTGCCTCGGGCCAGGAGGAACAGCGCCCCGCAATGCGACCAACATGGTCTGCAGCACACGCTTCTCCCGTCTTCCTTCTCAGTCTCTCCAGCAACTTCTTCCTCAGACCCCCTAGTTTCCACTCTCTTCTGAAAGCCTGCCCTCTCCGGTCCTGCTCCTCACGTCTGGGAAAGCAGTAGTACCACTCCATTGCTCCTTTGAATTTAGTCTCCAGAGGCTCAGAAAATCTGCAACTATCTGTGTGTGAGAGTGTGTGACGGGGGAAGTATGTGCACGCGTGGAAGTGACTTCTGACTCCAACCCCAGGCCTCCGTCCGGGACACCCGTCCTCGGCCATGAGGGGGACGTCAGAGTCCACGCGGGGCGGGTCTCAGCCTCCTCTCTCTGGCTTCTTCCTCCCGACCAAGGCGACACCAGTTGTACCTGATCGAACAATGCTTCCAGATTTTAACAGAATCGAAAAGCTTCTGATGCGTGAGAGTTCACACAAACCAGAAGTGGATGGTCAGCGGGGAGCCAAAGGCCAGCATTGGCCACGAGAGCTCTCATCAGAACCGGGAACAGAACCAAGGACACCGCTCCCACTGTGTCTTCAGGGCCCCGGTGAAGCTGGGCAGCTCGGACAGTCTGGAAAAACTGACCCTCCCCTCACTTCCCCAACTGGAGCACTGCTGGGACGACTGAACAGCAGCCGCGGAGGCGGACACCCCTTCTGCCCACCCGAGACCAGGGAGCGCTTCTAAGTCACAAGGGAACGAGCCGCCCCGCAGACGGGGGCGAAAGGGAACAGTCTCGAGACCTCGGTCGAAGCTGAGGCCAGATTCCCAGAAGTTGGGGGTGAAACACCAGCAAAATCAACCATACAACACTATGTAGATGAATCAGAAAAAGGTTAGTGGCCTGGAAAAAGACATTTATAAAAACACAGGCTAGGAACTACTACTGAAGAGGAAGTGCTCTTGTTAATAAGCTTCCTTAGGGAAGAGGAAAGTAGGACAGATGGGGCGATCATTACCCTCCTAAAGAACTCATTACTGCTCAGTCTCCTAATTACAATTCCTGTCCCACTTTCACGGAAGTGGAGGAAGAGTGAGTAGTGGTACACGAAACACTCTTCACCTGCTATGGACAGTGGTCGTCGGAACACTGTCTGAAGCAGTTCCACCACGCCCAGGGCTCTCCCTGCTGGGAGGCACGGAAGGGTATTTGTGGCCTACCCCGAAGGTCACTGCCACCTGCTGTCCAGCGGTGCAGGCTTAGTGCAAGTAGCCCTGGGCGCGGCTGCGCAGAGGCGGGCCAGCTCTGCAGCCCTGGGCTAGGCCGTATCTGAGTCTTAATTCCTTTTGGGTCTGAGGAGGTGAGGTGCTAATCGCTAGCGGGTTTTAGAGTCCTTCCCAAGTCTAAGGTTCTGTTCGTGCAGGCAGTCTTCAGGGGAGCAGGGAAGTAGGAGAGGGAAGGGAAGGGAGGGATGAATGTCTTTCTTCCCTTGACTTTCTCCCAGTGAGCAGATGGCCTGTATAGAAGAGACTGCAATTCAGACATGGACATAAAGTTGAGTCATTAAACCACAAGCAGACTCAATCATGAGCCTGAAATAGGAGCAGTAACATAATCACATGGATTCTTCCCCTGGACACTCGAACCATTGTCCCCCCACACCCTGCGGTCACCGCAGTGTGCGTGTCACTCTGAATGTGCCGGCCCCGATAGTGGCCCTCCTCTTCCGACTGCTCAATGTGGGCTTTGTGTGCTGGTCCCTCCCTCAGGTCTCCAGAGACAGAAGATTTTTTTTTTTTTAACATTCCTTTAAATCCTAGGGAGAAGGTTAGTGTCTTCCTCTGAATAGGACAGCTGCCTCTGCAGGACCCAGGAGGGCCGCAAGGCAGGTCTGCTTGGCAGCGCTTGCTTCTTGGCTCAGAGCAACTGGCCCGGAGCGGCAGTCAGAGACAGCCAATCCATCCCGAGTCCCAAGGCCACTGCGAGAACCTGGGGCCACCAGAGCCTTTACAGTTTGAGAGTGGGGCCCCTGGGTCCAGCCTTTTTTTATCCTCTTAACCCTACTGTCACTACACTAACAGCTATTAGAGCTGGAAAGGGCCCCAAGGCCATTTCCGTCCAACCCTCCCCTCTACACATGAGATAGAGCCGGTCCCGCAAACTTGTTGTGCAAGGTCGCCAGGACGGCACCAGTTAGACTTGACTCAGGGTCTTTTGATCCTAGTCCTGTGTTTTCTGCACCCACTTCAGTGCCTTGTCTGGTATTACACTCAGTCCAGGGCCTCACCGCTCTGCACGAGATGAGCGCACCAAGGTCTAAAGAGCTTACGGGAGTGACTACAGACGCCCCCCTGAGCGATGCTCCCCGATGTGTTCAGCCATATTCCGTGAGCCCAGGGCCCAGAAAGATACGGTTATAGGGTGCAGCCAATTTAAAAAGTATGTAGTTCTCATTTTCACCTTCTTTTTGCATCAGTATCTCCTATCATAAGCCTCGTCCTACTCCTTCTTACACTGGGTAACGGTACTTTGACTAATTCGGGTCCTCTGTGGAAAAGTTAGGTTCTGACAAAGTCGCTGCTTCCTCCACCCGGGAGCCCTGGCTTCCCCTCGGGAAGAGTGGGGAATGCACGCCCCGCCCCCCCCGCGCCCCCCCCGCTGAGGGAAGCCACCGATGTCTGGCTGCCTGTGGACGGGAAGCATCTGGGATTCCAGCACACTTCCACAGGAAGAGGCTTGAAAGGGAATTCCCCACCAAATCTGATGCAGGTCGGCACTTAGCTGAGAGGACAGAGGAAATCCATGAGGTGCAATGTGCTTTCGTTTGGCTGGAAATGCTTAATGTACGGCCACGTCGCCTTATATGGCGGGTGGGAAACCACGGGGCAGAACCTCTAAAGACTAAACACAAAAGAAACACTACCAGCTGCATTTTCTACCCAAACACTGATCTATAGACTAAACGCCCCGTCCCATCTAATCCCCCGCTCTTCCCCTCCAGAGGCGGTACTCAGAGGATGTCAGACGAGGGTAACAGTCATAATGCGGAGAAGATTCTGAGGTGCCACAGAAGAGCCCTCTGAGGGGAATCTGCCCCTGGTATTCCCAGTATGGGTAGAGACAGGCAGTCGGTCAAAACAGGCAAAACTCACAGTGACCCATGACGTCTGCGCCAGGACTCTGAGTGCCTGCGAGCTCTCGTGCTCCGTCTGGGCCCTCGGCCCCCTTTCCAGGCTGTGCCAGGCACCGTAGGCGCTGCAGATACCACTGCGTTAATAGCCAAGCAGTGGCCAAAGCAAACTGCACCACTCCTCCTCTTTACATAACCTTCAAGCACAGTCCATGCCCATCAGGCCTACATGTGTGCCCGAGCCAGGGCCTCGGGAACACAGCTCAAATGCCCTCAGAAGTGGAAACCCTCAATAAGGCCTTTTCTGTATTCCCCACCCTTCGGCCTGGAAAGAAGCCATCACTCCTAGTCCCCAAGGGGCTTTGCTGACATGACGGTCAACACCACATGAGGGGCACCTTGGATAAATCTTTTTGTGGACTAGTCTGCAGGCCACTGCACACTTCCTTCAGAGAAAACTCACTGCTGACCCTTCCTCCCACTAATGCCTGAATCGCTTGTCCTCCCAGCCCCATAATTCTTCTTGGAGGCCCTGGCTCAGCACAATCCATGTACATCCTCTGGAGGCCAGGCTGGGAGAGGAGACTGCATGGGCGTAAGTGGGGAAGGCACGTGCCGTGGGTGCGCACTGCGCCCAAGGAAAAGGAAGCCCTGCAACACAGCCCAATCCTGTTGGCAAGACGCTCCTCTGTATGGAGATATCGATGCCCAACCTTCTCTCTATAGGATTTATACTTTTTATTCTCTCTCTCTCTTCTGCTTGTGAAGTTGACAGTAAGGACTCCTGACGTTTTTTCTTTGCACTTCGGTCAATTTTGTTTATACACTCAAACGCCCACCCAAATCTCTGTGTCCTGCACCATGGTTGGCTCGCTCCAGGTCACTGCTTCAAGGATGGGGAGAGATGCGAGAACCAGCCGTAACTGACCTGCGGGCAGTCCCTCAAGCCCGGTTCTCCAGCTCGGCGCTCTCTAGCACGAGGGAACTACACGAACCACTGCACAGGCAAGGACTAGTGTGGGGAAGTTCCTAACCTCTCAGAGAATCGTTCCCGGCTCTTCAGCCCAAGACAAGATGGTCGTGGGATAGAGAGGCCCCTTTCCCAGGGGGAGGCTCCACTTGCTTACTTACCCTGACGGGGTCCTCTCTTCCTCCGGAATGCTGCGCCTGACTGCAGGGCTTCTAGAAGACTGTCCATCACACCTGTTTCGTCACCTTCTGTCATGAACAAAGATGGAGAAGCAAGCTCTTCAGCGCGAGCAGTGTGCGTGTGCTGAGCCCCACACAACCCGCATGGTGTCTACCTGGCTCCCCCCTTGTCTGTGCTGGCTGGGGACTCAAAGCAGACGGGAGGCTCAACCCCCAGCCGCAGCCCAGGTTCAATGTTTGTGAATGGCTCCAACACAAGGTTTCACCATCTACTAGCCACTGCAAACGCTGGGACCTTCTCCTGCAGCGCCCTCTTCTTCCCATCCCAGTCAGGACAAACATGGAGAACTGCCCAACTCCAGGACCAGGATCAGGACAGAGCCTGGGACTATGGAATTAATGAGTAGCTATACCTCACTTTCTTTATCCTAAAGTATCTTAATAAAATTTACATAAACCTTCCATGTAGCGCCTGGTTCCTGTTTCAGAGCAGGGCTGAGGAAAAGGTAAGAGAGAACCACTCCAGTGCATTTCACTGAAGTGTTACCCCACCGGGCTGCATCTTCCCAGGGGCAGCTGGGTATGTTAAGAGGAGCATCCCGGCCAGAATACAAAGAGTTAATGTAGAATCCTTGTTCCAGCCTGGCTCTGTTTCCATGGCAACAGCTCAGGGTGGTGAAATCTGAAACTGTGAAATCCCAAGGAGCCTGAAGGCTGCCAGCTACATGGCAGGGCTCACTGCTCCGAGCGCCACCTGCTGGCTAACATCACCAATGCTACTGACCTACATTCCAACCTCATTTGCTTGCCCTGGGCATCCAAGAGCCAGGACAAGGCCGGCTGTGTCACCTGATGATTGGTACAGCCCTCAACCCACACACCAGCTGGACTCTATCTTTACCCACTGTGTCCTAGACAGTACCTGGGGGCAAATCCTAGGAGCCTGGGGAGAACAGGGGAAGGAAAGGAATATTTGCTGTGGGCTTAAATAGCATTGCTAGAATAGTTTGTGGCTCCTATACAACTGGGTAAGAGTAGGGAATTTCTCCCCAGAAGAGTATAAAGAAAAGATGAATATTACAACAGGGGATTCCAAAGAAAGGCCCCTGGAGCAGGAGGTGTTGGAGCAGCCCTCGCCTCTCGTGCTCAGCACAGCACTCTCATTCTCACCAAGCCCGGCAGCCCTGAAACCCCTCGCTTAGGTGGCTCATAGCCTCTCGGTTCCAGAAGGGCGGCATGAGCCCAGTGCCGTGCACAGTGTGTGCTGCATTTCCACTGGAGCAGCCAGAGGGGGCAGGGATCAGCAGCAGGAAAGAAGCAGAGACAGGAAACAGAGGGCCAGTAATTGAGGCCATATGTTTCAACAAAGACATGCTTCTGGTGGTAAAACAGAGATTCTGCTGAAGGAAGAAGAGGGTGGTCAGCTCCCCTGCCCCCTTCCGGAAGTTCAATCCATTCACAATCTGAAAGGTGCGTGTGACAGTGCTGAGGTACTGAGGACACAGTACTTAGAGAAATAAGCAGAAAGGGAGGGCCAGCCACCACGAAAAGACAGCAGTGCCAGGAAAACACTGTGGGGAAAAGAATAAAAGCCTTAGCTGAGGGTGTGAAAAGAGGCCAGCGGCACTCCGGACAGGCATAAGGAAAGAGCAGTATTACAGCAATCCTGAAGTCACTGGGGAGATGAGACAGAATGCAGGAACCAGCGAAGGAGAGAAGAGGGTTTGAGCACAGAGAATTGGCCTGTGCATGTAACTGAGGTGGGCTCAAAGTCCAGCAGCAGGATCTTGGAGAGACAAGGCTGCCAACAGTCACTTGCCAGGAGCTGAGCTCAGACAGGAGCTGTTCTCTCTGGCCTCCAGATTCTAGACAGAGAAACCGTCCAGATGCTTCTGTCTCAGCCCACCCAGCCTCCACTTCTTACCTGCATTCATGTCTATGAGCTGCTCTCTCTTCTGCTGCTTCTCCAGCCGCTCCTTCTCTGCCTTCTCCTTGGCTAGTTTTGCCCGCCGCATCTTTTCCTCTGTCTCCCGCCGCTTCTGGTTCTCCTTGACCGCTTGCTGGGGAGAAAAAAAAAGAACACATGGGTGTGTTTGCACTCACACATACGCTCACCCACCACCAATATAAACCCACCCACCACCAATATAAACCCACTGGAAAGTGAAGAATGTGCTCAAGAGTCAGTCAGCAGGTGTTCCTCACTCACCACAAACATATTCTTAAAGTTGTTCAGATCCATGAAGAATTCTTCCACAGTCACCTTCTTGGGGTCAAAGAGGAAGTACTCGCCCAGCTCCTTATAGAGGGTCTCCATGTTAGAATGCATCATCCGCAGCTTGTTGTACTGCTCCTGTGCATCCTTCACGAAGCTGTGCAGCTGCCGAGTCAAGGACCCGTGCCAAGAAGCAGACCCACTTCTCCGCCCAGAGGGAGACTCAAAGATGTGCACTGGCGTGCACGAGGATGTTCAATACCGCACTGTTCATCTTGAAGCAAAAGCCAGAAGCAGCCTCTCTATCTAACATAAGGGCATGGCAAACACCAGTCGTGGCACGCCTAGGAGGTGGCGGTTATAGGAGAAGCTATTCTGCACACAGCTGCAGAGACAGCTAAGATACAGTACGGGCAAAAAGCGGTACAATGAGTACAGTGCAATTTCTGTATAAAAGAGATTCATGACGTGCAAACCAGAAAGAAGTCCAGCGGCAGTGGGCACCTTGGGAAGGGGAGTGTGGAGGGAGCGCCCAGGCGCACACAGGCATGGCAGATGGGCAGGGGCAGGGCAGATGGGCAGGGGGACTTCCAGCTCATCTACATGGTTTGCTTTCCCTGCCGTAACAATGAAAATACCTTCAGGAACTATGTACTTAGTGAAAAAAATATTTTAAGGGAAAAAAATTGTAGTGCCAGATCTATCCTGTTGGCCACCCTCTCCAATCCTCCCCCCACAAGATCTGCCCCTTCCTAGGGGCAACTCCCTCCTTTCAAGAAAGGATATGGTCATTTTTTCAACAAACTTGTCTTTCTCATCTGTGGCTGCTGGGAAATTCTGAACATCGCGTTCCACATCGGAAACCTGTTTCTTCATCTGATCTAGATTCTTTTGCAAGTTTTCAGCAGAAACTTAAGGAAACACAGAAACAGACAAGAAGAGCTTACTAAATCCTGTCCCCAGACCCTCAGCCTCCACCCTTCGGAGCACCCAATCTACACACACAGCTGGCACTCCAGCGCCCCCACGCACTCTCTCGTCCTCCTCCCGTCTTCCCAGTGGGGCCTCCAGCCTCCCTCGGCAAGCTGTACGGGATCGAGCAGAGACGAGAGGCTTCATTTAACACATTGGTTGCGGGTAGTTTTTATCGCGCGCTCTACTACCAGTCAACGTAAAACGTATAAATACGTTTTCCGCATACAATGTATTAATTCAACAAAAATCTATGAAATCCCCTGGGATCTTGGTTTCCACTTATTTTCAAAAACAGGGTTTGGAGGCAGAAGACCCACAAAAACATAGAGGCAGGAAAGAAATCTGTTCCCTGAAAGCTGCTTTTTGTTCACCTAATTCCAGGATGGTGAGGCCTGGTTTTTGTTAGTCCCGTCTATGTTTTCTGAATGAGAACAACCATTGCTCTGGACTAAAAACACCCACTGTTCTTCCAGTTGTGCTTTATGGCTCCCTGGGAAGGGAAAGAGTACCTCCCACTGCTATACATGCAGACCCTTTTCTGCCTGATACTCCTCCCTCATGGCTTAGACATCAAGCCTGCACCTTCTCTAATTCCCACTTAACACAGTCTGAACTGAAAATGATCTAAAATCTAAACTGTCTTATTTCCCTCCCCGTGCAGAGACGAGTGGGGCTTAGAAGCGCCTTCCAGCTTCGCCCCAGCCTGCCCACCTCGGCTGGCTTTCTCCACGTGGGCAAGCTCATCTGGAAACTTGAGGATGTCGGGATACTCGGTCTCACACAACTCCGCCAAGAAGTGCAGCAACGTCATCTTCTGGTCTGCGGACTTGGTGTCCCGAAGCTTGGGGAAGAGAATCGTTCGCGCGAGGTCACCTCAGGCCGACAGTCTTCGCCACCCTGTGCTCACAGAGGCCAGTGACCTCCCCTCTGTGGTTCTGCTCTAACCCTCGGGCTCACCTTACAGAGGAAGCTGATGTTGAAGCCAAAAGCCCCCGCATTCCTGGAACCAGCATTCATATAGTTGCCGACAAGCAAGGTGATCTCCAAAAGGCTAGAGAAGCTCTCGCTCTTCCGCAGCTCCTCACACGCGGCAGTCACGGCAACAATCTCAGGCTTGATGTTCTCCACCTGCTCACTGAACTGCAGCTTGAAGAGGATGGCGTTGAGGCGCGGCCGCAGGCGGGGTACAGTGCCCATCTAGGGGGAGACAAGCAGTGCCATTACGACCAGCGAAGACAAAAGTGAGAAGCTCCGGGCTTGAGTCACCTCTGGGAGGCTCTGAGTTCCAGGGCAGGAAGGAGAGAGAGAGAGAAAGGTAGGTTCAAAACAGACAAGAGGCAAGCAGCAAGTGCCCCGGTCGCTCCCGGGAGGAGGGGGCATGGGGGTCCCAGAAGAGACTATGGCCAGAGGCCTCACTCACCACCACGCCGAACTGCTCTGACTCTGCTAGGTCATCATATTCGTCCTTCAGTTCGGAAAGCATTTTTAACTGCTCTGGCTCTGGCATCTGCTTAATGAGGTTCTGAAAGACAGAAGGGACTGTCTCAGTTTGAGGGGACGAGATGACAGCTTGAGCCTCCGTCATGCCCTCGCTCTGCCCAAGGACCACCACTAAGAAGGAAACGTGGACATGGTGGGGGGTGGGGGGGAAGCAGCCAGTGAGATGGCAGGATAGCACCTGAACACCAAAGATGGACGCTTACCCAAAGCTGGCATTCTTCAAGTCAGCAAGGCCAGAGGAGGATCCCTGCCCTCCAAGCAGAGGGGGTGAGGCCAGTGCATAGGGACGCACAGAGCCGGCTCCAGCACGTCTGCCTCGCTCCTTACCTGGATCATGGACTCGGTCAGAACAGCCTCGTTCACCTCCAGGATGACATTCTTAATCTCTTGATAGGGCATGCGGAAGGAACCCAGAAAAATTGCTGCCGGAAAATGAAATATAAAGACATGTTCTCAGTTTCTTCCTCCTTCCAGCCCATCTTCCAGCCCTTTGCTGGACAATTTTCCTAACAGGACTCTAAAAGAGTCACTACCAGAATCCCCCACCAGCCCCACGCTGCCCACTCAGTTAAAATCCAAGCTCCCGGTCCAGTCCCGCGTTTGGGTTCCCCACCTCCCAGCTTTCCCGCTCATTGGCCCCTGCACTGACGTCCCACGCCAGCAGCACCAATCCAAGCTCCTCACTCTGCGAACACTGTGACTCCTCCCTTGCCTGTCTTCCCAGAAGTCTTGGGTCTTCTCTGTCTACGTATATTGAAGACGTTCATCCCACTCTCTTTTAGTCAGTTCACCACTCTCATGACTCCATCCCCAACGCAAGCCCTGCCTAGAAACGCTCGGGTTCTTCACTGTCGCGTCCCACTTCCTAATAAACACTGCCTGTCCTTCCAGCTCTCCCACTCCCCAATCTCTGAATGGGAGTGTGCTCGCGCTCTCTCTCTGAAGAGAGCTAATCACTCCATTTTCCGTGAATGCATCAGTTCTACTTTGTCTTCTCTATTTAACCAAGACTCTATACAGTCTACCACTTCATTCTCTACTGCTACTCCCATTTCTATTACCCTTATTTCTGTTTTCTGGCTTCCTCCTCCCTCCAGCCCCTGGTTAGTCCAGATGTCTGACTTCTCTGCTCTTACCCCGGGGTCGGTGCACATGCTCGCAAACACCGCAGATCAGAGTCTATGAATCCTTGATGGCACCAAAGGCAGCTGGGGCTTCAGCGCCGCCTGGTAGCCTTCCAGTGTCCCTCCCCACGCACTCTCTCTGGGCTGTCTTTGCAGCTCCACCAAAATGTCCCCATTCTCCCAACTGTCCCACCGCTTTTGCATTTGTTCTAAGATCTTGCTTCTCGTAACTGAAAAAAACCTGAAGCCACTGGTGAGCTGCTTGCTCAGCTTTCTCTCACACCACTTACACATTGAGCACTAGGGGCCCTCGGACAGAGCTGGACAAGAAAAGATTTGGGTAAGGACTACTTTGGAATTGTCTAGAAGAAAACTTGTAAGCTTATCAGCAACTACACCCATGGACCCATCCTTTCCTCACGTTTCAACGGAGCAGGTGGCCCTAAGGACCTTTTCCTCCAGCACAAATGCATACTCCAGTCTCTCCTCCCTCAAAAAACCCTCTGACTTAATATTCCTCTCTGATGACCAACTTCCTCCTTTCTATAATTTAAAAAAATATAAATTTATTGTCTCTCACTTCCAAAACTCTTATTTATTATTTATTCTTTATTCTCCACAAAGATAATGGAAAGATGACAATCATTTATTGAGGGTCCACTCCGTGTGAGCAAGAGTCCCTTAAACACAGTCTGCATGCCCCGTCTCACCTACCCCATTCGCGACAGCCCTGTAAGGCTGCATTCTTGGCCTCACTGGACAGAAAAGGAAACTAGTACTTCAAGAAGCTAAGCTACCCACCCAACGTGCCACTGCTCCTAAGAGGTGAAGCCAAGATGTAAATACAAAGAAATTCCAGGGCCTCTGTTCTTAACTCCCATGCTGTACTGAAATAATTCTTGCTTTGGCTACCGACTTTCCTAATGCCAGCTCCAAGAGATGCTTATTCTGTCCTGATTTTAATGCTCCCACTTCTGAGGACATTTCATACCATTTTTCTTGCGGTTCCTTTCCAGCCCTTTTCCTTTGAGGCCTCCCCCTTTTATTCTTTGGCCCTTAAATATTAATAGCCATCAAAGCAAACTCATGGCGTCAGTGATGACTCATGTAATGTCTCCTAAACTCCTACCTCCAGCCAGAACTCCCTTCTGCTTTCTATGCCCAAATGCCTAGTGGACCCATCCTTTTGGAGGAGTCCCACAGGCACCTTAAATTCTACCCTAAAATTAAGGTAACCTGCCCTGGCTGGTGTGGCTCAGTGGATTGAGTGCCAGCCTGTAAACCAAAGGGTCACCAGTTCGATTCCCAGTCAGAGCACACGCCTGGGTTGTGGGCCAGGTCCCCAGTCGGGGGGCATGCAAGAGGCAACCACACAGATGTTTCTCTCCCTCCCTCCCTCTCTCTAAAAATAAATAAATAAAACCTTAAAAAAATTAAGGTAACCATTTCTACCAACCACCTGCTCCCTCTCACCATGTCCACTACCTACCACTTCTCCTACAAAAGACAGAGAACTGCTCCTGCTGGGTTTCCCCGTTTCAGTAAATCAGGAAATGGCTGCATCCTCCCAGGGATGTCCAACCCACAGCCCAGAGTGTCTAAGAGTGGGGCCCAACACAAAATCGTAAATTTACTTAAAACCTCTTTTTTGCTTATCAGTTTTTCATTAGTGTTTGTGTATTTAATGTGTGGCTCAAGATAACTCTTCTTTCTCCAGTGTGGCCCAGAGACACCAAAAGGTTGGACACCGCTGCCTGGAAAACATCTCCTTTATCCTCTCAGTTAGTCACTAAGGTCTGCTAATTCTATCTTCTTACCTTCTACCTTCCCATTCATTTTCACTGCTTTAGCTCCCTGTCCTGAGCACCTCTGGGGTAGTTTAAAGCAATAACATAACTCATCTCTGTGCCGACAGTCTTCCTCCACCCTAGCACTGCAGCCTCACAATCAGTGCTGAAGTAGCCTTCCCCAGAATCACATAGGCTTGTCCCATTCACTTTTTTCTTTTTTTTTTTTTCAAAAAAAATTTTTTAAAGATTTTATTTATTTATTTTTAGAGAGGGAAGAGAGGGAGAGAGAAAGAGAGAGAGAGACAGACAGAAACATCAATGTGTGGTTGCTGGGGGTTATGGCCTGCAACCCGGGAATGTACCCTAGCTGGGAATTGAACCTGGGACACTTTGGTTCCCAGCCCGTGCTCAATCCACTGAGCTACGCCAGCCAGGGCCCATTCACTTTTCTGACTGAAATCCCTTCAGTAACTCCCATAGCTTTCAGGATAAAATACATACTTCTTAGCCTAAGCCTACCAGAATTTTTATGATCTAGCCTCTACCTATTCCTTGAGAGCTTCTTTACCCTCCACTCCCCCAGCTATACTTAAGAACCTGTAGATTCTGAGATGCACAATATTATCTCATGCCTCTGTGCCTTCACACACTCTGATCCCTCTGTCCAAACAACCCAGCCCTTACCCTTGAGAGAGAGAGAGAGAGAGAGAGAGAGAGAGAGAGAGAGAGAGAGAAACACCAATTTGTTGTTCCACTTATTTATGCATCCATTGGTTGATTCTTCCACATGTCCTGACTAGGGATTGAACCTGCAACCATGACATACTGGGGCAATGCTCTAACCAACTAGCTACCCGGCCACGGCTCACCATTAATAGTTCGACTCAGTTTAAGCAGTACATCCTTTATAACAATCTCTAGGATGTGTTCCCTCCAATACTGCCCCCTTTGACTCAGATGCCCCCCTTCCCTAGTGCTCTCAAAGTACCCTAGTACCCTCCACCACAGCACTTACCACACTGTGCTACTACTACTGTTATTTACTTTTATGCCTTCACCCAAAGCACAGTTCATGAGGAGAGGGGCTATGTCTCACTCAGCTCTGTATCCCCAGCACGTAAAAGGCACTTAATAATTTCTGAGTCACTAAACTGCATCTCCTAGACCATCCTATCCTAAACTAACCTCAATTCTCTCCCTGAATTCTGTCTTCCATATCGCTATCAGGAAATAACACTGCACTGCCCCATCATCTTGCATCATCTTCTGAAATAACAATTACCCATGTTTTACATTCCCAAAGATAAATCCTGAGAAGAGGAATTTCTTCGCATTACTTCAGTCCCCACAGAAGGACTTACCCACAGATCCTATTTAGTAATATTTGTTCACAATGATGCAAGATTATGTAGCCAAGAATAATGTAAAGGCTTAATATTGTCACTGTATTATTGACTTTACTTAACGGGGGTATGTACTCATTACTTGTGTGGCCTTGGCCAAGTCCCAACAGCCGAACTTTAGTTTTCTCACCTGAAAAATGGGGACAGGAGCTACAGCACAAGATTGTGAGCGGGGTGTACAGACTACACACCCTTTTACATCCGAAGCGCACTCCTGGCATGTGCCAAACAGAGCCCGCGACACGGCAGGCCCTCAGATATTTGTGGAGAAAATATTTAAATCTATATTGTCAGGGAGATCAACAGTTGAAAGGAACAGAAAATGAATGTATATGCTGACCATCAACTAGGTAGAACCTATATCAACTTTGCAGGAGTTTCTGGTCTGAAATTCTGCCACCAACCAGAACTGTAAGTAGCAAGTTCAGAACAGAACTCACTGGAATTTTTGTTCCCACAAAAATCCCACTCTGAGAAGTCCAGAATTTACATTATTTATCCTAAACCACAAAGTTATTTTAGATTTAATTGAAGTCAAGCCAGCGCCTGCATTTAAAAGGAAATACTTAAAAGAAAGTAAGAAAGAAGGAAATGTACAGCAGCTAGAACATTTGTGACAGGTTTTCTGTGGATGCAGCGGAAACACTTAATGGCTTTGAAATAAGAAAATCCAAGGTTCAAAGCTCAGACCTGTCTTCTACTAACTACGTGACTAGGCAAATTTATCAAAGTCTTAGCCTCTATTTCCTTGCCATAAAACTGTATACCAACAATCTCGCAGTGCTAATAAGGGAATTAAACAAGATTGAAAATTCACTGTACAATGCCTGGCATACAGCGGGAACTCAGCACAGGAATTTTCACATATCAAGGGACCCTGGATTCACCAAAATTAAGCTCTTAGAAGAAATCCTTCACATTTCAGGTAGTTCAGATCACAGAATTACTTACAGAGATTCTGCGCTGTCTTTGAATCCAACACCTTTAACTCTTTTACTTTTTTCTTTTGCACAGATTTCTTTTCTTCTCCACCTTCCTGATCCTTCTTGGCTAGGATGGAAAAGATTAGAAAAGCATGATTAAGAACAAGCCACATCTGTACCTTACTGAACGACTGTCCCACCCTGAAAAGGCCCCTTGCTTCCTCTCTAATAATAATGGTCTCCCTATTATATTCCTTCAAGGCAAACTTTCTCTTTACCCACCCTTTTATTACTGACTTCCCCCTCCAACTATTAAAAATCTCACCTTCAACTTCCAGTCAAGGAGGCATGGGTAGACACACTTTACCTCCTCACACAACTACAGAGAGAATTACAACTAAACCTCAAAATAAATGACACCCAGAACTGTCAGAAAATCAAACTGTACAGACGCCTGCCAACCAAGGATTTAAAGAAGCCACATTATCCAGATGGGTGGGAAGGGTGGAGACTTGGAGGTGGGAGGAGAGGTGAGAAGACGCAGTGTGATGTGGAGAGATGGCGGCAGCATAGGTGCTCACACGTTTACGTGTAGTGGATAAAAATCAGGAGGGATACCTTGGGAGCAAGAGATCCCAGCCCAAGGCCAGACCGCACAGCCCCAAGTTCCAGTGCCAGGAAGATAAATCCCTATAACTTTTGTCTATAAAAACCAGTGAGGGTTGGGGTGGAAGAAGAAACTTACAGCTTTTCAGGAGATACCACTTAAAAGGACCCACATGGTCTTAGAACATATGCAAACCCATCCACTCTGGGATTTAGCACCAGGGCAACAACTGGAAAGGTGCCAGTTGCATACAGGGAGTATGTGAAGTGACTAGAAATGGGGCGAGTGCTGGGCAAACCTCCAGAGGCTAGGCAGCATTACAGTCCCTCTTCCAAGCCCTAGCCCCATACAGAGCCACAAAGTGGTGAAGCGGGTTGCCCTGCCCTGCAGATTACCTATGGCTCCACCCCACGCAATTTACAGATGCCTTTTCTACAACAGGTCACACTACTAAGACAGGGAGTCAAAGCAGGTCTACCTAATACACAGAAACAAACACAGGGAGGCTGTCAAATTGAGGAAACAAAGAAACATGGCTCAAATGAAAGAACAGAACAAAACTCCAGAAAAAGAACTAAACAAAACAGAGATACTCAACTAAACAAAACACTGATACTCAACCTATCAGAAACAGAGTTCAAAACACTGGTGATCAGGATGCTCAAAGAATGCATTGAGTACAGCAATAACATAAAGGAAGAAATGAAGGTTACACTAAGTGAAATAAAGAAAAACCAACAGGGAACCAACAGTGAAGGGAAAGAATCCAGGATTCAAATTAATGCTTTGGAACATAAGGAAGAAATAAGTGTTCAACCAGAACAGCAAGAAGAAAGAAGAACTCAAGAGAATGAGGGTATTATAAGACAACTCTGGGACATCTCCAAATGTACCAACATCTGAATCATAGGGATGCCCAAGGGAGAAGAGCAAGAGCAAGAAATTGAAAACTTATTTGAACAAATAATGAAAGAAAACTTCCCTAATTTACTGAAGGAAATAGACATACAAGTCCAGGAAGCACAGAGAGTCCCAAAACATGTTGGACCCAGACAGGACCACACCAAGACACATCATAATTAAAATGCCAAAGGTGAAAGTTAAAGAGAGAATCTTAAAGCAACAAGAGAAAAGCAGAGAGTTACCTACAAAGAAGTACCCGTAAGACTATCAGCTGACTTCTCAAAAGAAACTTTGCAGGCTACAAGGGACTGGCAAGAAGTATTCAAAGTGATGAAAAGCAAGGACCTACAACCTAGATTACTCTATCCAGCAAAGCTATCATTTAGAATGAAAGGGCAGATAAAGTGCTTCCCAGACAAAGTGAAGCTAAAAGAGTTCACCATCACCAAGCCATTATTACATGAAATGTTTAAGGGACTTATTTAAGAAAGATCAAAATTTTGAATATTAAAATGACAACATATTCACAACTATCAACAACTGAATCTAAAAAAATAAACTAAGCACAAAACCAGAACAGGAACAGAATCACAGATATGGAGATCATTTGGAGGGTTATCAGCTGGGTGGGGGGGAGAAGAATGGGGGCAAAGGTATAGGGATTAAGAAGCATAATCGGTAGGTCCAAAATAGACAGGGAGATGTTAAGAATAGTTTAGGAAATGGAGAAGCCAAAGAATGTATATGTACAACCCATGGACACAAACTAAGGGGCAGGGGGGATTGCTTCAGGGAAGGGGGTTACTGGGTAGAGGGGGGCAAAGGAGGGAAAATTAGAACAACTGTAATTGCATAATCAATAAAATATATTACAAAAATAAAGTTAAACTAGGTTGGAAAAAATCTCATTTTCCTATCTTTAATAGTTTACAATGCTTTCCCACCTATATCTTATCTACCTGCAGAGAGCGGCCAACTTTCTGTAAATGACCAGTTGGTAAATTTAGGCTTTGTAGACCACATGGTCTGTCTTAGCTCTGCCACACAGCATGAGAGTGCTCACATACAATACATACACAACATGGCTGGGTTCCAATAAAACTTTATTTTTAAAGCAGGTGGTCAGCCTGAGGGGCTATTGTTTGCCATTCCCTATACTAGGGTCTTCCACTGTGTTATCCTTTTGTGCCTATTAAACATCCTATGTATCTTTCAAGCTCCATCTTGAACAGGAGTTCCCCGTAACATTTTTCTGGATTTTCCCAAGTGCCTATGATCTTTCTCTATCTGAGCCCCTGTTGATTTTGCTACTTCTTTATATCGAGTGCTCTCACCGACTTTGTCATAAATCTATAGCATGTCTCCTCAACTAGATAAGGACATTGTTATTTCTCTTTGCAAATCTCATGGCATAAAAATATATTTCTCACTGAATCTTACTGCTTAATCATCATGGTGCATACATGCACAGAAAGTACAATACATACTTTCTACACTCTTTTCAAACTGTTCAAAAACCAGTATTTTCTTCCTTTTCTGTGAAGATTTCTCTGATAAATGTACTCATTCTCTCCTTTGCCGAACTAATTTTCATGGTATTTGCTATCTATACCTCATATGACAATTATTCAATGTTAATTATTCAATGTTTTGTGGTATTTTGTATGCATCATCTTGATCTTTTAAAACCTGTGTTACTTTATAATTGTGGATACTTTCCCTACCTAGGCTTTGACCTTCAAGAACATGAACAAAGTAATATTTTCATTATCATTCTCTCAGCAGCTGGTATGACAGCAATATGCACTAAAAAATAGGTTATACTGGCTAAAGAGGAAGGCCGAGTAGTAGATAGAAATGGAAATACAAACTGTTCTGGACGACATTAATTGTAAAGCATTCTGTCCTCTAGTGTAGCTTGGTATCAACTTTTTAGAAAGCCATACAGGATATCTCTGCACAGAGTGTCAAGAAGCTAAGGAAGCTCAGTGCTTGTGAGGAGAGGCATGGGTACCTGAATATGAAAGTGGAAGGAAGCCCTGGCTGGCATAGCTCAGTGGATTGAGTGCGGGCTGGGAACCAAAGTGTCCTAGGTTCGATTCCCAGCCAGGGTACATTACTGGGTTGCAGGCCATAACCCCGAGCAACCGCACATTGATGTTTCTCTCTCTCTCTCTCTCTCTCTCTCTCTCTCTCTTCCCTCTCTAAAAATAAATAAATAAAATCTTTAAAAATAATAATAAAAAAAAGAAAGTGGAAGGAAAACTGTTCAACATAAACACATTTATACTACACAAGAGTATACCAGAGTATTTAAACGTTAAACCACACAAACACTATTAGTCAGTACAAATAAGTAAGAAATAGAGCAAACCAAAAAGAAAGTTATATGGCAAAAGTTACACAGAACTACAAAAAAAATTTCATCCTTTGGCTTGATAGTGCCAACTTGAAGAAGAAAAATGCTAAATACATAAATACTCATTGCTTAAATAAATACTGATTGAGTATCTGTATGTGCCAGGCTCTGTTCTGGGTAATGCGAATAAAACAGTGAACAAAATGGAAAAATTCCTGTCTTCATGGAACTTGTGTTCCAATAAAGAGAAACAGATAATGAACCAATTCACAGATAAAATAGTGTAACAGATGGTCAGGGAAGGTCTTAGTGAGAATGTGACATCTGAGTGAAGACCTTTTACAAAATGAGGGATCATGCCACGTGAACAACTGGGGTCCAGGGCGGGGGGCACACTTTAGACAGAAAGAATACAAGTGCAAAGGCCTGAGAAAGAAGCGCACCTGGTATGGGACTAGATGGAGTAAGGGGGAAGATCAGCAGATAAAATCAGAAAGCAGGAAAAAAATACCACATAAAAAAAGAAAATTATGGGTATTCAGATAAGAATGCAGACTTAAAACATCTAAAATGTATCACAATTTTGGCAGGGAAGGAGAAAAGTAAAAGTATTGTATCTCAAAACTGAGGAGAGAAAGGGCCCTGAAAATAAAGTTTCTACACTTCATTCAAATCAGCAAATCACCGATGTTATTAGACAAGGGTCAATTAGGTGTGTATAGTGTTACACCTAGAGCAATCCACCTCAGCAAACTGTACAAAGCAGTATACTCAAGCATTATAAATAAATAAAAATAGAACCTTGAAAAAACATTCAAAGAAACCACAGATTAGTTGGGGGAGAAACAGAAAACAATACAATGGCCCACTTAAGCCCTAACATCCATTAATATAATGGTCTAAATACAAAAATCAACAAAGACTTGCTCTAGTGCAGGTGATTGGCAATTAGCTTTTCTGACTGCAATGTAAGTGCCTGACACTAAGCATTTGATTGCTGAGGCATCCACTTCAAAGCCATCCATTTGAATAAACCTATTGCCAGCTACACAACTACACAAAGAGCCAGGCCGCCCACCCATGAAGTTCCCCTTTCAGAAAGTCTTGGGCTACCTACATAACTAACCATTTCACTGACCCTACTTTTCCATTCTCATCCTTTAATTTCCGCTTTTATATTTTAAATTCACCAATAAAGAGGGAACCTCTTTATTGAAACCCTAGGCATCCCACCTTAACCCCAGTAAAGGCAGAACCC